TGTTGGGAGTAACCCAACGACGGTTTATTTTCTTTTCCTTATTTTTCTCTTTTTGTGTGTGTGAAGAGTTCAAGTGTTATATTTGGGTATCACCGTGCCAAGTCTCTGTGGTTTTGTGTTTTGGGAGGTGGTGTGATCGAATTAGGGGGCACGGTTGAGTAGATTAAGTCAAAGTTTTTTGGGAGTGCCCTATTTTTCACTCAGGTCAGAGGTTGTGCTATCATTTTACAGTCTTAGAGACCGTGAACTGGCACCTCCGTCCGTGAACTGAGGGTTTTGCCTATAAAAGGGGCATGAATGGCTCAGTTCACTTCACGACCGCCCAATTCGCTGGAATTTTTCAAATCTCACAGGAAAGTGACGAAACTTCTTCTTCTTCTTTCTAGATTGAGAAAGTGACGAACCAAAAAAGAGAAGAAGCTAGGGTTTCATCTTCAAACAAGGATTTGGGAATTCCTCCCCCAAATGAGGATCTCTTCAACACAATGAGCAAGGGTAGCATCTCTTTGATGGTTTTCCTTCTTCTCTCTTGTGATTTCCCTTCTCCTAGCATAGAGTAGTCCCTTCTTTCACTTGGTTGTTTGTAAATCCTAGCTGCAATTATGTGAATGCTTGTATGGATTGAATGATTTTTGTGTGGTGGTGTTTAATGTGAATGTGGAGGTATTATTCATGAATGATTGTATTGTGTGAAAGCCTATCAATCTAATTGTCATTCTAACCTAGGTAGAGAGAAAACCCCCTTCCTTTCTTTGAAAGAGGCTTGAATGCTAGGGTTTCTCAGGCAATTAATTGTCTCCTATCTAGGTTAATGCAGGGCAACTTATTTCATATTAGCACCTAGGGTTGGTTGTTGGTGGCCGTCCGAACTCCGATTCGAGGGTGAAGTCTTGGCAACCCTTAGTCAATAGGTCGAGAGAGTCACGTTGGTTGCTTGTATCGAATTCCCTTCCCTCGACCTAGAGACCGAGAGAGTGGCGCTTGTCTACTTGTTACACTTCCCTACGGTTTACAACCCCCTCACCACACACGACCATTTGATCCAACAAGTCGTAATTGTTAGCTAGGGGGAGCAACACCCGGGTGAAGCCTTCTCAATTAGTGTCAAATCCATTTACCTTTGCAAACGTTTTAGCTATATTTTCACCGAAAATGAACCGCTAGGAAATGTTACAAACAATCGAAGTAGGGATGCATTAACCGGCCCGAGTCGATATTTAAACATATTTGCCCTATACTGCACCTAATTGAGTTTATACTTGGGCCTTAATTGGGAGTTCTATTGTGGTATTCAGGATGAGTCAAGCCACAGTCTCTTCGCGGTAGCACTTATTTGTGACAATGTAGGGTTGATTCTTGTTGGGATAGTTTGGTTATGGGAATTTATTAAGATGTTACGTTGTACTTGTATTGCGTATATTAGTAGTTTAATAACTATGATTTGTATTAAAAATTAGGGTTAATACCTTATTTTGGCCCGAACTATGACCATATAATCAACTTTAGCCCGTGGTTTCAGAAAATAACATTCTGGCCTCAACAATGCAGCATATAGACTCAATTGGCCTATAACATGGTTTGACCGTCATTTTGGATGGTCAACACCGTTGATCGATAGTTAACACGCCATGTCATTGCCTCGTCAGCCTAAAATTATTAAAAAAATCAAATTCAAATTATTTTCCTAATTTCTATTATTTATCATTTTCAAATTAACCAAAAAATAAAATTTTAAAAATATAAAATAAAATTTATTTGTGATTTTTTTGGATATTTGAAAATGATAAATTTTATAAATTAACCTAAAATTATCAAATTAAATTTTATAAATTTAAAATATATTATATAAATTATATATTTCATTTTTGGGTAATGTTAAATATATATAAAATAATTTGATAATTTTTGGTTAATTTATAAAATTAATCATATTCAAATTACACAAAAAATTAAAAATAAATTTATTTTATGTTTTTAATAAATTATTTTTTGTTAATTTGATTATAAATGATAAAAAGTAGAAAAATAGTTTGAATTAGAATTTTTTAATGATTTTTAGGCTGACGAGGCGATGACTTGGCGTGTTGACTAACGGTCAATGGTGTTGACCATCCAAATTGACGGTCAAACTAGGTGTCAGGCCAATTGAGCCTATATGTTACATAATTGAGGCCAGGATGTTAATTTCTGAAACCACGGGCCAAAGTTGATTATATGGTCATAGTTCAGGCCAAAATAAGGTATTAACCCTAAAAATTATGATTAAATCTGTAAGATACTCAATGAACAAATTTGTATTAATCAAGTACCAGAAAATAATATGAAGTAACTGAACAAGTTTTCATTTTCTGAATACAGTTTAAGAACTCACCAAAATTCTCTGCTAAACAAATTTTCTTCAGGTTTTTTTCTGAGAAAATGACAACTTTGTTTTCATTTTAGTTTGTGTTTTCTATTGCGGACGCTATAAGAAACAGAATGGCAAGTGAACGACCCATTCGTGAAGCACTATGGTTTTGGTTGTGCTCACAACCCCAACTTGTTTTAGTGCACCCGTTGGTGCTTAAGCAAAAGCTTGTGAGCCATAGTTCTTAAAGTACCAACATATGCTAAGTTAAGAGTTGCATCTACAAAGAGAGTTTCAATGCTAAGTGAAATTCCATCATTGTGTCTCCAATTCATGACTGGCCAGCCTATTACGAACTTGTGAACTCATTCTCAAAGAACAGCCATATCAATGTGATTCGGTCTCAATTGTACACATTTTACCCCTCATTTCTTGATAATTTGACTTTGTATTTCATAGTCCCTCGACCAAATTTACGCTAGGTTATGCTATGTTTGATTCATTTCAAGTCCTAGCACATGTGGAAGGGTTAAAGAAGAGTTTCGGGACGATTGGAGGTTGAAAAGCACCAAAAAGTGAAGAAAAGTCCCAAATCACGGTTGGCGCACCTCGCGGGCTTGAAGATTGTCATAGTCGCCAAACCGTGACAATTATCCAATGACAGTGATGTCGGACCAAAACGGCGCCAGTGACCTGCGTTTTTGTCTGATGTCACGGTGAGAGCTCCAAAGTCACGGGCGTGACATGCAGACTGTTAAAGTGCCTATTGGGAAGTATAAATAGAAGGCAGTTGGGAGAGAGAAAGGGGCTGGATCTTGGGTGAGGTTTAGATTTCTGGATGCCCTTCTAGGGTTCCAACTGAAGAAACCCCAAGGGAAACTCTAGTGAGAGAAAGGTCTTCTTCTTCACAATCTAGAGAGAGAAAATGATCAACAAGAAGAGAAGAAGAAGATATGGGCTTACTCCAAGCTAGAGGAGTGAAGATTCTTACCTCTCAAGGGAGTTATCATCAACTAAGAAGGAAGACAAGCATCCACCATGCTTCTTTCTCTCTTCTTTGTTGAATTCCATTGCCTAGCTATGAAGTAGAGCTCCTTCTTCTCCTTCGATGGAAGCAACCAGTGGTCGCTCCTTTACTCCGTCGATCAAAAATCTTTGTCTTCCTTCTTTCTCCCCTGCCAACTCAGTTTTACCCCCTGCTGAACCAGTGGCCATTGGTCTATGCGGAGGAGGCAGAGACTGTTATATGTGGTAGATAACCGGGGAGGTTGAAGTCCACAACCGTGATAATGGAGAACACCATCGCGAACCGATATCTTCTTCTCCTCCCTCACTCATCTACATCGCCCCCTGCACCATCGGTGCGGTCAGACCCATCAACCCCCATTGGAGCTTACAGTTGAGCCCACCAACATGCTGGTCCAGTGTACAAGCCAACCAGCCTACAAAAACTGGTTTGTTCGAAAAAACCCATTCCGAACTAATGTTAGTTCGATTTCAGAACGATCGAACTGATTCTTAGTCCGACTCGTTTAAGTTTATATACGTAATTGATGAGTGTCTTCTCTTCAGTCTGCCACTTCAAAGCAGTCGAGTATATTGCATAACATCTCACAAAGTTCGTATCCTTTTAGTCGCGTCAAAGTCATTCCAAAAGTAGAAATAGGCCTTGTGTGGTTTTGACATAATTGACCGAATGCCTATTTCTAATCACAACGAACTCGTTTTTTTTTTTACAAAAAATTGAAATCTAAATTAAATCAAAGAAGATAAAACCTAATTATATTAATAAAAAAACCAATTAATCTCACTCCACTTATGGGTCGTTTGGAGAACAGGATTCAAGACATGGATTCACTGGATCCGTAGATTTTATAGAAAGTTATGTTTTTTTTTTGTTTCTTTCTGTATGGTGGATTCTAACTTTAGAGATTTCAAATCTCTAAAATCTGCGGATATCAAATATCTCATAATCAGAGAGATTCTATATCATGATTCATGAGATTTTTTTTCTCCTAGTTTTTCTCTTACTTTTATTTATTTATCACATGAAATATATTTATCAACAAAGTTTTTAATATTTATTGAACCACTCTAATTTTTTTATTATGGATACAAAATGTATTTAATATAAAATTAAATTTTTTTATTTTAATTGAATGCTAACAATCACAGGTTATCAAACAATAAACATTTTAAAATCTGTTTTCAACAATCTGGAGAGTTTGAATTTTTAAATTGTTGACAATTTATACATTTAACCTCATATTCTCCAAACGACCCCTTAAAGTACTGAAAGGTTAACGTCGCTCTGGATTTACTATTATCACCATAAAAATAAGGCACAAATCTAAGTACAAAATACATATAATTTTAGCCACAAAAGCAAATATAACAAATCTTCGAACTGAATAATCTGTCTTCGTGACCACATGACTATCATATCCCCAACAGTTATACCGTACATAGGAGAAATTGAACCCCACTTCAAGGGCAAAACAGTCCGAAATTAAGCAGCGGTACAAACTAAGCGCGTGAGAGCCTTTTCCTCGCCGATCTTTCTTCTTAGGCTAGTTCAAGTTTTTCAAAAAAAAAAAAAAAAAGTGTTCGAAAATTTCTGTTACGAACTTCCGAATCAAGAATGCTTCAGCCTCATGAACCACCCTCGCTCAATACTTAATTACTCCCCCTGCCACTGAAAAGCACCCCAAACCCCCATCATAAGTTCCCCTCCCCCTTCTTCCCCAGTTTCCCTCCAATTCTTCTCTCTCTATAAACACATTACCATTCTCTCTCTCCCTCCCCCCACCGCCTCTTCTGTCTCCGATCTCAACCAGGTTCCGCCATTTTCCTTCTCTCTTTCTCATTTCGAATTCCTTCTGCTTTTTCTAATATCGGCGTGTTTCCAATGTCTTCTGCTCCTCTGTCTCACTGACGCGTTCCTGTTTTTTTCTGGAATTTTCTCTGCTGTCAAGGTTCAGGGGAGCCAACCAGAAAATGGAGAAGGAAAATTGCTCTTCCGCTACAAACGCAGATCTCATCGCCGACGTATCGCGCAATTACTTCACTACTGGAGACAACTACGATTTCGCCTCCTTATTCCCTCCGCTGCTATCGTCCGATTCCCTCTCCTTGTCATCGCGCTTCTGCTCGCCGTCGTCGGCAATGCCGCACCAGGAGATGGTCAACCGCCACGCTCTCTGCCTAACGCGCCTTCGCCAGGCTGCAAAGGAGGTCGAGTCTCTCCGCCATGAGAACGCGGTTCTCCGATCCATCAACCACGACCTGAACAGCGATCTCAACCTCCTCATCCGCGCCTCCGTCCAGAATCACTGCCTTCCGCCGTCTCACTACGACAATTCGCCGTTCGAGCTCGCCAATGCTTTCCGTGATTTGTGCAACATCGGCGGAGGAGGAGGCGCCGCCGCCGAGGAGTTGTGTGAAAATCAGAGTCCGACGAGCGTCATCGAGATGCAGAGCGGGGACGCGGACAGGATTTCGTTACCGAAGAGCATTTCCGTGAGGTCCAATGGTTACTTGAAGATCGGACAGAGCACTGCTTCTGCTGGTGCGAGCAACAAGAGTCGGAGCGTGACTCGGCCTCTTCGCAACACGAATCCAATCGATGGAGCGGTAAATTTTACTTTTCTCATTCTCTACTCCATCCCGGCATGTTCTTGAATTGCTCTCTACCAATTATTGCTTATTCCACAGTTAGTTAGTTAGTTAGTACTGACTTGCCTTCTACGCCGCCTACTGGTTTGAGAAAGAGCCTAGTTTAAGTCTCTGGACCGACGAAGACTTGGTAGGAATAAGAGTCAAAGTAAAAGAATTAGGGTTGTTTCAACAGCGAGGTTCGTTAATCATTGTTAATTAACTAAATCCGTATTCCCGTACATAATCCACCAGCTAATTGGGCCCCTCGTGATGGGGATATGATTGAAAAATTAGGAATTGTTTTTCAGTCTCACGTGAATTGAACGCAAAACAGTAGCTTTTGTGGTTTATTAGTAACCCAGCACAATTAGTAGTATGATTAACAGTGGCGGATAAAATTAGAGTACTGAGGAATGATTCCATTTAGATCAGAGCAATTACGGGTCCTTTTTATGCGTCCTGTAGTGATCGGATGGGTCACTTGGTTGATTTCTCTTCATTTTCTTAACTGGAGATCACGACCACCAACTGTTTGTATAAATACCTCAGTGACCTATATCCACGATTGAAATTATCATTCCTGTCACTGTGGTGCTACATTGTGGAAGGGTTGTCTAGAGGCTAGAGATAACTAGTTACAATCCCCCCAGGTGTAAGAACTATTGAATCTTGATAGTAGCTGAATAATGATATCAAACAGTGATCCTTACGATTTTGTGATTGCAGGCAAAGGTACTGATCCGTGGTGGAAATGGAGGGAAGAAAGAGGAGGAGGCACTCGAGCTGGAAGTGTACAACCAAGGCATGACGAAGACTGAGCTCTGCAACAAATGGCAGGCAACTGGTGCTTGTCCATATGGCAACCACTGCCAATTTGCACATGGTGTTGAGGAGCTTCGCCCAGTGATCCGCCACCCTCGCTACAAGACTGAAGTCTGCAGAATGGTTCTCTCTGGTGATATGTGTCCTTATGGCCATCGCTGCCACTTCCGCCATGCCCTTACTGAGCAGGAAAGAGCCACTGAGCGCCTCAAGCCCAAGCAGACTAAGCTCGAAAGGTAAAGAAATTGAAGTAATGATGAACGATGATATGGTTCATGACACAATTTGTGGCTGGGTTTTGGGATTTTACATGCGGTAGAAAGATTGTTCGGTATAATGAGTGAGGGAGCAGAAAGGTAAATAACAACATTGAAGTGAAAGTACAGGTATACAGTGCAATATAGGGGGGAAGGAAGCAAGGGTATACTACTAATGAAGTATATGGAGTACAGAAAACATTTGGGGCATATACACGGTGGACAACAATGGAACAGGGTATCGTAGAGAGAGATTAGACTTACTCTTGCTTTCTTTCCATCCCTTTTTGCAATGCTCAAGATAACTCTTGTTGTCATTCTTATAATTGTACCTAGTCTACAGTTTGATTCATTCTTTCAATTGTCACACAATGTGGTCCAAGTTTGTTTTGTAATAAGGACATCATATGATTTGGTTGATGAGACCACTGTTGAAAGTTTTGATGCTTTTTTATCCTCTTCTATTCCATATATTAATATAGGTTGCTATTAAATGAGACAAAGGCGATACTATAGTCTTCTAGATGACAACATCAAGTATAGAAAATCGAACCCTATCAACTTAGTAAAACAATGAAAGAGTTTTCCTAACCACTATATGGACCACCCTATTATTGAGCACGACTAACAAAAAAAAAACTTAACTAATGAAAACATTTTCGCAATAATTTGATTTCCTACAAATCATTTTGTCAATTGCCAAAATTGAGTTATTTCTGTTATCACCGAGAGCATTCGTTATCTCTTCTCATAAAGACTATATTCATCTACCCTTAGTGGGTTGTATGTTCAAATGCAATGAGTGTGTTGTTAGTTGTATCTCATTTCTTTATTCCAAGGTTCTAAAAGGCGCCAGGCGTAAGGCGTGCGTTCGGCTCCTGACTTGCGCCATGCCCGATTAGGCGTAGCCTAGACGCGCCTAGGCGTTCAGAGCATAAATGGAAAAATTCTCAAATATTTCCTGTTTTCTGGTATAAATCATATAATCCAAGTGCATATAAAATTAGCAATGCCTAGTTCTTAACAGTAAGCACTTAACATAACAAATAACAAGCAAATAGTGACCAATCATCTGCTAATAGGTGCTTATAGAGGCAAGAAGCTTGTGCTACGTACCGAGGAGAAGGAAGGAGTAACAATTGACGAGTTTCGACTTTATTTCCCACTATAGCAGCGGAGCGGTGTGAAGGCGAGAAGAGTGATGGATGACTTTCTCCTACGGCGGCAGAGAGCAGCAAATGGGGCGAGAGCTAGGGCGGCAGGCGGCAGCAGCTCTTCCCGTGTTTCTGATTTTCTAGGGCAAGAGGCAAGTTTCTGATTTTCTAGGACAAAACGAAGAGTATTGGGTTTAACCGCATAAGCTTGCCCAGGAACGCCAAAGCACGTCTTCTCTCCACTAGGCGCAAACTAAGCGCTATTCCTACCTACTAAGCACTACCAGCGCCTTTTACAACGCCTATGGCCAAGTCAAGGCGATCCTCCACCGCCTAGCGCCTAATTGAGCCTAGGCGTGCCTTCTTGAACCCTGCTTTATTCTAATATGTCTTCCCTTATGCCCTTAAAACTTTCCTTGTTGTAGTTGTTTGCCTCTTTGTTTCATTGCGTCCTTTCCTCCCGTATTCCACTTTCAGATATTTCGTACCTTCTTTTTCTTTCTCTATTTCCTGTTTCTTTATCGGCTTTTAATCTACCATGATCACTTGTCCACATGAAAATAATTAGTTACAATAGTAGGGGTCTCTACGATCCTAGAGTTGTAGCCAATCTCAAGAGAACGATAATAGCCTACTCCCCTCACATGGTCTTCATTGTGAAAACAACGTTATCTAAGAGTGAAAGAAAATATGTCCATGTAGAGTTGGCTTTCATGCACGGAAAGGAGATTGCTACAAAAAAAAAAGAGTAGGAGGGATTTGCCTCCTATGGAATGAAGAAACATGAATCTCTCTTATCTTAGTATTTTGTACCATATTGATGTAATCATTACTTCAACGAAGAAGGGACATCATGGTGACTACCAGATTTCTATGGACGATCGGAACGCGATAAGAGGCATCTGTCTTAGGAATTATTAAGAATTTTTAAAGGTGACAGCTCCTTACCCTGGTTATGTCTGGGTGGTTTTAATAGAATCCTGGTTATGTCCGATTGTTTTTTTCAATCTTGTAAAGAGGTCCTATAACTGCTGATTCATACTTCTTTTCAGAGTTTATGGGAGAAAGAAGTTCGCTTTGACTGGAAATTTTTTGGTGACACACTGAAGTTTTGATGTCAAGGTGTTAATTTGATAAATGAGCATTAGTTGTGAACTCTGAGTCAGACCTCCGAGATCTTACTGGAAGGAACAAAAATAGCTTTTTTCTGCCTAATGACTTTCGTTTGCTTCACTGGCTTGTCATTCATTTTTTCCTCCCTCGCAATTTTTACCATATTGTGTTTCTTCCCCCTTGATATATTTGTCATGTCCCATGCATCCAGCTGGCAAATGGTCAATCTTGCATAGCCTATGTGTCTAAATATAATGAATTTTGTTCGCGCTTACGATCACAAGGATGGTATTACTGCCCTTCTTTATGCCACTTTGGTGACAAAGTTCCTCAAGAAAATTGGTGGGAATCTTGATGATTATGCGTCCTCTACTGGAATTTCTTTCTACCATCCTATTGGAGTAATCATTGATGATCTCCGAGACCCAGTAGGAGTTGCTGAGCAACAGCTTTTGGCTCGACTCTAATTACACATCTCAATCGAGGGCCAAGTATAACCGACGACCGAGTGTAGCATAGGGTAAGCAAGCAATAAAATTTATCGAACCACAAGGATCTAAGGTTACCTTACTTCAGGTTTAGGGTTCATTATCTAGCCAATCTAGGATAGTGATTAGGAAAACTAGTCTAAACAAGGCTAACTACTAACTCAGTTGATTACAAGTTGTGGAGCTCTCTTAGGTTTGAATCCTCCTAGTTTCATTAATTGGGTCGATGTTGAGCATTATCCTAGATCGATCGATTCACTACCCTACTGTTATGAGATCGACTCACTCGCGATTGACCCGTAACGGCGAAGTGATGGAGAAGTAGGTGCTCTGTTCAACCTAGGGGTTCATATATCATTATGAGACCGATCGAATCAAAATCCCTCGGGGATTACCCGGACAATATACGATAGGAGTGACCCAAAGATGCTAATAATGAGATCTAAGGGAATTTTCTCCCTCCTATATCAAAAGCTCAATACATGAAATAGAATTCGAACTCATGGAATCTATGAAAACCATCCATCAAACATAGAATATGTCACATACATGAACTTCAAACCAAAATCTAGATCTAGGGTTCATCAACCTAAGAGAAAGATGTCTAGTTCATAGAGAAGAGAGAGAGATTACAAAACATGCATGCTCAAGATCTTCTTCTTCTTCTTCTAGCATTGAATCCTTGACTTTAATATCAACCCAAGTCTTCAATTAAGCTCCAATATCACTCTAAAACTCACTCTCTCTAGAACTCCTCTTTGGTGTTTTGGTTTGAACCCACTCAGGGCACGACATTTGCCTTCTGCCCGTGAATATTGCACAACCTCCACTTTTTGGCTTGTTTTGACCTTCGAATGACCCGAAACTCGTCCAAGACCTTCCCACACGTAGTGCTAAACGACATATAGGAAGGACTCTGTAGAACAAATTATGTTCAAGATCTTCTTTTACGATGGACTAGGCTAATGGTGTACCGAAATATGTCATGGACTTGAATCTACGCTACATCTGGAATGATAACACACATGTATTAGGTTGCAGCTTGATCTAATCATGCGTTATATACTTATTCCAACAACAACGAAATTGTTAGGGGCAGCAACACTAATCTTGAATTATATGGACTTTTTAAATAGTGAAACTTTCTCTTCTTTGAAGACCCGTATTTATTATCCATTATTCATTTGTATTTCTTTCCTTCTTGTTATATTTTATCATGGTTTTTTCATAGAAGTTTTGGGTAAACTCACCCGACAAAGGGTTTGTTCATCTTTAAAAAAGATATACATCCGATTAGAGTTAAATGCATGGTTGGTTACTGAAATTACAAAAAAGTTCATGTTTGATCACTCAAAATATTTAATTCTGTTCGTGATCACTAACTTTATATTTTCGTTTCATCATTGGTCACTCTCCGTCCAACTCCGTTAAATTTGTCCTACGTGGCAGTCAACTCTATTAGTTGACTATTAAATGAGTGATGTGGCAAATAAAAAATTTTTTTTTTAATAATTTCCACTTCATTTTCACAACTTCTAAAAAAATAATTATTTTTAATCTAATAATCTCTCCTAGGCTGCGGTAACTTCCACCTCATTCCAATTTCCCGCTGCATAGAGGAGGCGACAACGACGGTGCTGTTCGGTGCCGGCGAGGAAGCAGCTTCCACAAGCCACAAGAATCCCTCTCATGTTGGGAGTAACTTGAGATTGGACCATCTCGATGTGATCGGGCAGGGTCTTCTCTTTGGTTAAGCCTAAAGATAAAACCCCTAAATTAAAATCCCAACACAAATCCTAATCCCTAGTCTCACGAAACTTCCCAGGATGGATTCGAGTAATTGAAGATTAGAGTTTGGATCCACCGCTGCCTGCCAGCAGGCGGCGTTGACGGTGCCGGCGTCGATGAAGATGATGATGTGCGGTGGAACTGATAATAAACTTGGAATAAATCCGGGTTCTCCTTCTCAAGCTCCATCCACCCCGTCGAGGTAACTGATGACTTGATATATATACATGTTTTTATCCACCATTCTTATGTCGTTTGAGCCTCATTTCTTGTATCCTAGGCCGATTTCACGCTAGGTTGCTCTCGTTTGTGTTATTTCAGGTCCTAGTACGTGATTGGAGGTTTGGGAGCGAGTTTTAGGTCATTTGGATGAAAGTTGGACGTCTGGCAAGGAGTTGAGGAATCCACACAGCCAGACTTAGCAGCCACACGGCCATGTGGTGTGGCCGTGTGGAATCCCATTACGCGTGTGGAATCCCAAGCCACACTAGTCGTGTATTGGACCCCTTGTGGTTGTGTGGAAAGTCCAGGGAGCTCACACGGTCAGACTGGAAATCCACACGACCGTGTGCTTCTGGCCGTGCAGCGTGCGTGAAGACCACTAATTGAAACGCGGCGTTTTCCACATCCACACGGGCAAACTGGAAAGCCACATGGCCGTGTGGTCGGGAAATTCTGGGTTTTAACCCAATTTCAAGCCAAAGGATAGAAAATCAATTTTCTGAGCAAAAACAGAGCCCTAGAAAGAGAAAGTTCGAAGAACACCCTCTAAGAGTGATTTTGGAGCTGGGTTTCATCAATCAAACTTGGAAATCATCCTTGGAGTGAAGATCACCATCCTAGAGTAGATTCTTCCCATCTTGATGAGTA